GTCAGCAGTGGGGCTGCAGGAGTCTGGGGCAGACGCGCGGCCCCTGGCTTTGTGTGCGGCTTGAGCGGGTGGGGAGTGTGGCGCCAACCCACAGGTGGTCCGGTCCCCCAGCCTCCCTCTGCGGACCGGAGTAGTCCACGGCCTCCCACCTTCTCCGGCATGACCCTCTTGGCTGTGCTTTGGGCCGTGGCCTCCCTTCTCCACCCGATCTCATCCGCCTTCCACGTTTCAGGGAGGCAGCCTGCTTTCTGGTCGGCCAAGGTTGCCCCTTCGTGTTCTTCAGGCATGTTACATGTTAATTCATTATTTTTACCAGCGATATGTTTTTATTGAGCCAAAATTCATATAACATAAAATAATCTCACCATTTTAACCACGTTAAAGTGTACAATTCAGTGGTTTTTAGTATATTCACATGTGCAACCACCACCACTATCTAATTCCGGAAGATTTTCACCTCCACTAAAAGAAATCTCCTACCTTCTAATTCTCTCCTCCTTCCAGCCCCTGGCAACCACGAGTCCATTTTCTGTCTCTATGGATTTGCCCTATTTTGGATATTTCACGTAAATGAAATCATGCCGGATGTGGCCTTCAGTGACTGGCTCCTTTTGCGGAGCATATCGTGTCGAGGTTCATCCACACCGTGGCGCGTGTCAGCGCTGCGTTCCCTTTTATGGCTGAATAATACCGCATTGTGTGGTTAGACTACGTTTGTTTATCCACTCATCAGCTAGTGGACGTTTGGGTTGTTTCCACTTACGTTTCGGCTGTTGTGAATAGTGCTGCTATCGACAGTCGGGTACAAATCTCTCTCTTTTTTTTTTTTTTTTTTTGAGACAAGGTCTTGCTCTGTTGCCCAGACTGGAGTGCAGTGGCATCATCATGGCTCACTGCAACCTCAAACTTTTGGGCTCAGGTGATCCTCCTGCCTCAGCCTCCCAGAGTGCTGGGATTACAGGCATGAGCCACTGAGCCCAGCCACGTACGAGCCTTTGTGTGGACATAGATTCGCAGCTCTTTTGGGTATGTACCTAGGAGTGGAGTTGCTCATCACCTGGTAGCTCCAAGTTTAGGTTTTGAGGAACTGCCCAAACTGGTTTGCACAGCGCTGTGCTAGTTTACATTCCCACTAGCAACGAATGAGGATCCCAATTTCTCTCCGTTTCCACCAAAACTGATTATCTGTGTCTTTGATTCTAGCCATCCTAGAGGCTATAAAGTGGTACCTCACTGTGGTTTTGATTTGCATTTCCCTAATGGCTAATGATGTTGAGCATCTTTTCATGTGCTTTAATAGCCATTTGTGTATCTTCTTTGGAGAAATGGCTCTTTAAATCCTTTGTCCATTTAAAAAAATTAATGGATTTTACTTTTCAAAGCAGTTTTAGGTTTATAGAAAAATTGAACAGAAGGTACAAAGTTCCCAGGTACCCCCTCTCCATGCCCCACCCTGGTTTCAGTATTATTAACTCTTGCATTAATGCGGTAATTTGTTACAATTGCTGAACCTATACTGATACGTTATTGTTACTGAAATCCTAGTTTACATTAGCATTGGTGTTGCACATCGATGGCTTTCGACAAATGTACAAGGACGTGTGTCCTCCATCACAGTATCATAGAGAATATTTTCACTGCCGCAAATATCCCGTGAGCTCCATCGGTTCATTCTCCTCTCCCCCTGAACCTCTGGCAACCACTGATCTTTTTGCTGTCTATACTTTGATCTTTTCCAGAATGTCATACAGTTGGAATCACAGTATGAAGCCTTTTTGGATTGGCCTCTTTCACTTAGCAATGTGCATCTAAGGTCCCTCCATATCTTCTTTGCCTGTTTTTAAATTGGGGCATTAATTTATTTTTACTCCAATTTTAGTGATCACTAGGGAGGTGGGCTGGGAGGTGGAGGCTACGTCGTGGAACCGCCTGCCCGCTTGTCCCCATCTCAGGAACACGCTGAAGAGAAGGGCCGAGCTGACAGCTGCCTGGCACAACAGAAGCCGCAACAGTGTGCTGGACTGTCCCTGGGGGTTCCCTGGACCCCTGCCCTTACCGTCCCTCTGTTCCCCTCTGGGACCCCTCTCTATGTCCCTTAGCCGAACTTGTGGAGAAGAGGCCGTGCTCATGGAACTCCTCCCGTGTCTGCGAATGCAAACCTGGCATGTACTGTGGCACGTCAGCCACCAACTCCTGTGCCCGCTGCTTCCGCCACTCGGTCTGCCCGACAGGGATGGTTGTCAAGTTCCCAGGTAAGTGTCCCCACCCTCAGTGGCACCAAGATCTGTGCTGCTGCTGCTGCATCCCCTACCCCAATGCACTGATGACGTCCAGCCTTCTGCTTCCTAGAGCCCGATGGACACATGGTGTCTCCTTTCGAGATGGCCGGGGATGTCCCACACCTTGTGCTCCAGGCAGAGTGACACCCTGCTGGCCCAAGGCACAGGCCTGGCTGGAGGAGGCCTTGGGTTGGTTTGAGGCTCGGGGCAGTTCTCTGATGCCCCATAAGCAATAAGGAAACCTCACGTCTCTGTTCTGGGAGTTTCCTGAAAGACTGCGACTGAAAGGTTTCCTCCTTTCAGATTTGGGGCATTGGGAGTTAGAGGTGCCAAAAGATGGGCTCCAGGCTCCAGGCTGAGAAACACGGGTTTCTTTTCCAACTTGCTTGTTAGACCTCGGACAAGCTCCTCATGTCTCTGGGCTTCTGATTTTCTGACAGTACAAGGGAGGGGCTCATGGCCAGAGAAAAGGTAAAGGCCATAGGTCCTGTCTGAGTGGCCTTAAGAACCTCTCTCAGAAGGGAGGCATGAGGAGTGGGTGGCCTTTGGACCACACCCCAGAATGGGTGTCCCAGCTGCAGAGTGCACGGAGAGGGGCAGCCACATGTCCACTGGGGAGAAAAGTGCCAAAATTGAGCCTGCGACCCCCTCCCCCAACCTGGTCCTTCTCTGGAGTCCTATGCCCTGCTTCACAAACCTGGGGACTGTCGGTCTCCTCTGTCCTTCTCCGCCATCCCTTCCCTTCCCCCCAACAGCTGGCCCATCCCTAGTCCTGTAGGCTTGGCCCCAATTATCTCTCCCATCCCCTCACCCCCAATTCCTCCTCTCATGCCTCCCCCATGGCAGAAGCCAGAATGGCCCTTGCAAAACCAAGTCTGAGCCCCACCCCCACACACGCATAAAATGCTTTGGTATCTTCCCATTGCTCTAATGATAAGGACACAATCCTTTGGCAAAAGATTGCAGGCTTCTCGGGGAACTTTTAAAAAAATCTGCTCATTGGTGCCCGTTTTTAAAAACTGTGCCCATTGGTCTTTCTGGGTTGCCTGCTTCTTCAGCCCCAAGTCTGGGATTTATGAAGCAAAGAGAAAACTCCCGGAATCTCCACTGTGTCATTCCTCTGGTCCCAAAGTCCCTGGCTGATCCGCCTTCTTCTCTTTACTTTCCAGAGTCTTATTCCGTTTCTTTTGTCCATAATGTCCAGGGCTTTTGGCCGTTCTTGGTGAGGAATAGGGAAAAGTGTGTCTCCTCCAACTTCCTGGAATCAGAGTCTCAGCATGTGATCCTGGCACAGCCCCCTCCCGCCCAGCCTCAGCTCGCAGCACCGGCGCTCGCTCTCCGGGTCCAACTGGTCTGCTCCTTTCGGGTCTCTGGACGCACATGCTTCTCCCGCCCACCAGGCCTTTGCACATGCTGTTCCTTCTGTCAGGGACACCCTTCCCTCCCCATTCACTTAGTCAAACCCCACTCAGTGTTGAGCTCTCCGTCCAAGGGTTCTTCCCTGCCCCCTCACTGGGGAAGCTTGTAGGGCTGGGTGCACATGTGTATACACACATCTGTCTCTGTCTTGGTTTAGTTGATGCCTGTCTCCCTCCTTAGGCTAGAAGCTTCGTGAGGGCAAAGGCCATGGCCACTGTGCTCACCAGCATGTCCCCGCTGGCTAATCAAGTGCCAGGCATGGAATCTGCTCTCCATAGATACTTGTTGAGTAATGAGGGGCCCCTGACAGGGAGATCCAAGCTGGGGGTGGGTGGAGATCAAATCTGGTCAAATTCCCATGGTCACAGAGGAGCACTCTGCTAAGGGCATGCAGACACCCTGTACCTGCAAGCAGGGCCAGAGTGGTTGAACAGAGGGAGCTCTTGACTGGGCATTAGATACCTGGGATTTTGCAAAGCTTTGCATCTTTGGGGCATGTTACCGCCCCTCTCTGGACCTCAGCATCCTCACCTGTAAAATGAGGAGGGGTAGCTTGAAGGCCCGGAGGCTTTTCCAGCCCAGAAATGCTTGCATCTCTGTGAAAAACAGCCTGAGTTCAGCTGTTCCAGCTGGCTGTAGGGCTGCCTGGGAGGTGTTCCTACGACTGCCACATGGTGGCACCAGAGGCCTCCTTTGATGCCCCTGGATCCCTGCGGCCCAGTGTGGCCACATGAAGTCATTGAGCCTTAAAGTGCGGGTAAGTCTATACTGAGA